CGCCGGAGTGAATGTTGGTCTGGAGGGCCATGGCGTGGATCGCGGAGTTCACCTGCCAACAAAAGGCCGAGGTCAAAAAGAAAAAAAAAGAGGAAAAAAGTAGTCACCACCATGCAGTGAGTGGAGGCTATCCTGGCGAACTGCTTGGGGTCCATCCCTCCCTAGCTGGCAACCTCCTCGTGGGAGACCTTGGCTCCTTCGCGAAGCCACGGTGAAGTCAGTGACGCTTTCCCACCCCCTGGTGGGAAACCGTGGGAAAGCGAAGGGGTGGGACTGCTCAGGCGGAGGGAACTGCCCTTGCGCTGGGAGCTCGGTCTCTTCTGTGCCACCTTCCGTGGCTACTTCCTCGACCGGGACAGGTGGGACCTCAGGCGGTGGATAAGCGAAGGCTGGATCAGCAACCTCGAACTCAGCACTCTCGGAAGTGGAAGCTCGGTCAGGGCGTGACCTCTTCGCCCTGCGCTTCTGGTTGCTGGACAAAAGGTGGCGTGCGTCTACACCAGACATGATGGCTGCCAAAAAATCACAAGGCATTAGTCCAGTAAAAAAAAAAGAAAAAAAAAATTTCTACAAGGCATTGCGTGACCTAAAAGGCAACCTACCAGGGCTCAGACGCACGGTCAAGAAGTTCGACCAATGGAAGGAAACTGCTGCCTAGGATTGCAGCGTTTCCCGAACTTTGGGATCCAAGTCAACACCCGAATCCTGGATGGCGGCCCTCCAGTGAGTTGGGAAGGGCCACCCTTCGGGGTTGCGAACTACAAAATAGTCCCGCTTCTTGATCGGGATCTTGTTCGACAGTTCGTGCAGGAGCTTGAAGCCGGGATGGGGAGAAAAATAATAGGAACACCTTTCTGGAGGCATTCCGGGAGAAGCATTCTTGATGGAGAGGATGGTGGAGAAGATGTCGAGGTTAAGGGCAAGACAGTATTCATAAAATAAAGAAATAGTCCCAACTACATTTCAGATTGAGTTGGGGTGAAGCTGGTCAATAGTAACATTGAAGTGGTTCAAAACCTCCACTATCAGAGGATGTAGAGGAAGACGGAGGGCAGCGATGAGCTGTTCCTAGAAAATCACTATCTCGTCAGGACCGTGCTCCCAAAGATAGTCATTGGAAGGAAGACTGTAGATGAGGTCTCTAGGAAGGTTAAACTGAAGAACCAAGGTCCTAAGTTTCTCCATCGACATGGAGGAAGGACCAAAGCTGTCTGGCTCCCTACCCCGGGAGGTGGAAGCTGTCTCGCCGGAGGCCTCATGAGCCTCCAGGGCCTGCCCCCAAGCTCCCCTTGAGCTTGAGGGGGGCGTCATCCTGGTCACCACCCTGGGGAAAGTTATTGTACGAGTACCCAGACATACTGACAAAGTGATAAGACTCACCAGGGAAAGCCGAACTGAAAAGACGGTGTGAACGGAAGAAGAGCTCGAGCAGCTAGGTGAAGGCGCGACCTCAGAATCCGAAGGCAAGGCAAGTTGGCGTGAAGGAAATGAGGCTTGGGGCCCTCCTATTTATAGCCTTTGTGCCCACAAAACCAACGGTCCAGATTAAGGCAAATTTGACGGTTCGCAGTCAGGCCGACCGCACGTCTCCTGAAACCGAAATGTGACTGGCTGCACATCTTCCATGATCAAGGTAGTGTTGGCTGCACAACTTCCGGAGATGAGAGCCATTTTGGCGCACCTTTTTGGCATTCGAAAAGTCCTGACATCCACGTGTGTATTTAATGCGATTGGTCAATCAAGTTTGAATTTTAGGTCAAATCCACCCGTCACACTCCATGAACTCCTTGTGCATCCTTAGCTCGAGGAGTGGGGGGCAATCGATGGAGGGCGATTTGACTCGACCTCCTAAGAAGGTGACACATGGACATGACTCAGCATAAGCAACAGCTCAGCCTGACAGCCTGGCTACGACTGAGTAGCAGACTCGTTAAGGTCCTTGCAGGACAGCTCGCTACATTACAGCTAGCCATGGAATGAGCTTGCTACAGCGCGAGCATGAGAACCCTAGTATGGTGAAAGGGAATACTCCAAGACAAGTCTATCCCAGCTCGCGAACTGAGAGAATCAGATCGCTCCAATACTTAGGCAAGAAGACTGCCCCAAAGGTAACCTCAGGCGGATCTACCTCGGGGCACATCCCGAAGCTCCCTACAAGGCAGCTTGCTACAGGGCAGCTCGCTATGAGATAGCTCACTGTTAAGCGACACGGAGCTCTCAGGAAGCTTCTTATCTGACAAGACCGTACCTGTCAGACTGCATCACGTCTCCTCGATGATGGCGTAGTCCCTGCCAACCCAGCGGACTGCACCCACGTCTCTCAACAGGTGGTGGCGTGTCTGTCCTTTCCGGGTCGTGTCTCTCATCTGATTGGCTAGTACTCTACAACGGTTACTTGCGCAGCCCTGGCGAATAACGGCTGTGACAGAGGTCCAGTGGCGGTTACACCCCATTTGACAAGAACGCCCATATTTAAGAACCCCATGATCGAAGGGGAAAAGGATCTGGTATCTTGCATCTTGTACCTTGAGTTAATCTTGAGCTTTCATTGATCTAGTGCTACCCGCACTCTTAGCTCTTTTCTGCATTCCTTACTGCTTCCTCAGGTGTTCTAACTTAAGCATCGGAGTATTCCCATCGGACAAGTCCCCTGGGAATCCTTCACCGTCTTCTTCTCAAGTACCGCCCGTCGCCAGATAGAAGCCAATCAACTACCAGTTAGGAGTGCCCAGATTGCGCAACATCAGGATGAATCTAACAATCCTGTAAAATTTTTCACCAATCAAACACTGAAAAACAAATTTAACAGGATAACTGGTCTCAGCGACCAAGCACAGGTGACAGAATTGAGAAAAAAAAAATTCCTTCCCATCACATCCTTTCTCAGCGACCAAACGGACTATTAGGGATCCTCGGGAGCGTTCACTTGACCGGCCGCTCATCATTTCCCTAAGAGATGGGGAGGTTTCCATTGTTACTGCTAAGAGTGCGACGTGTCTCCGAGGATCTCAGGAACATTAAATGATCTGCAACACATTCCACGTGTTGACAAAGTAAGTCGGTTTTATGAGATCGGAGAATTGATTTGGTGCTTGGGTTGTATGGGTGTCCCGAAGTGAGAACTGGGGTCTTGGTTGGTCTTCCTGGACTGACTTGGATTCCACCTGGGGTCGATTGATAAAACACGAACCCGTCCAATGAGTGGGTGAATCCCCACCTGGCGTTCTTTTAGGTGACATGCGGCGCTAGATGACTGGTGTGCCAATTTTGTCCATCATCAAACACAAACCTTCTAATTTACATTTTCTTTAAAATATATATATATTAATACAATATGTAAATTAAATATTCACTAATAAATACAAATAATGAAATGCATTCATAGTAACAAATTAACGAGACAATATACATGAAAAAAAGGTTAGGCTCAGTTTAGAAGAAGTACAAATACAAATATGCACAATATAAATACATACAAAATATAAGGTTTTGCGGTCTACATATTTATATTTATACTCCTTCCAAACTGAGTTGTATGTCTTTAAATCTTGCCATTTGTACTTTAAAATTTCCATACATTTGAGACCTGGGCCATAAGTATCAAATGTGTGGAATTTACCAAAATTGTTTTTCCAGTTAAATCGTCTAGTCAGCCGGTTTGGGACAGTTTTCTACCTATTATGGTTTATAGGGTATGATTTAACCGGATATAGGCCTGGCCACAGTTCAATCGGTCCGGTTTCTTAAATCAATTCTTGGTAAGGGAATAAAGTTTGTCTAGTATATGTTTCTTTCTTTTTTCTTTCTCTTTATTTTTTTTAAATAGAAAGTTGAGTGAAAATTCTCAGTGAATTTCACAAATTTTGTAAGAACTTTTCCTCTCAATTTTCTGTTTCTCTCTTATTTATTTATTTTATCAAATCAAACATACCCTTGTTTCACAATTGAGAAATTCAGAGTGTCTACACATAATATTCTTTTGCTACTTGAATTGATTTCTGAAATTGATAAAGGAAATTATATTTGGGGAAAATACAATTTAATTGTCAAAAATATTGAAAACTAAATTATACACAACTTAGTTTGACACATTTTTTTAGTCATAGGCCCTTTGATGTATTGTTTTTATATATGACATTTGGCATAAGGGTCTATGTGTAGGTGAATATGCTAGCTGAGCCTTATTAATGTCTTTTGTCCGTTGCAATAGTTTAGTGACTTGGGTTTAAATGCCTTTGTTGGGGTTGGGAGGCTTTGGGATTTGGGATAAGGATAATACCCTTTGTTGTTTCTACTCAATTCTGTGCAAGTAAGCTCAAGGAGTACATATAGAAGCTCAAGGAGGAGTTTTGCTTTTTACCAGAAGAGTGTGGTGGGGAGGTCAGCTATGTGAATGAAAACATCAATTCAAGTCTAGAGAGCACCTAAGCCTAAGTAGCAGTTGTTGCCCTTTTTACAAAGGGCCAAGGCCACATGTTAAAGGGTGTGTTTGTGTAAAAAAGGACTAAAGGTCGGAGGTTGATGAGACTTCATAACTTTGCTAGGATAAAGCCAATACCATCACAAGCATAAGTATACACTACATACCGATATAGGCAAACTCTCCTACTTCAAATCTGATGGGAGAATGCACTCTGAACAAATCACTGGTCTACATTTTGCTCTTTGTAGTATAGAATCATTAGTAATATATTATTGCAAAACATCTCTTCATATACACTAGTAAGTGGTGTGTAGTGTGGTCTATTCATGAAGACTCTTGGTCCATATCTTCATGTTGTCCTTGGACGGTGGTGGGAGTCTTTAATGTGTTCAATTTTTTTTTTTTTAATTGTTGGTTTCTACTTGACATCATAAAATAATGAAAGTGTCCCCTTCAATGGAATGCTTGCATGAGAGAGACAGAGAGAGAGAGAGAGAGAGTTGATCAAGTAAACAAATAATTAATGAAAAAAAAAATTATGTTCATGTTAATAGTGGTTAAGTTTCAGAACTCAATTTCAATCAATCAATAAGTCCTCACCAAGCAAGTAAGCTATCCTCTCTACCATCCATGAATCTCCCCCACCCCTTGTCTCCTCTTCTTGTATAGCCAAAAGATTAGACCTACACAAGGGGCATGTTACCTGCCCTTGATCCACCCATTTGTCTAGGCACCCTCTATGAAATACATGTGTACAATTACTCAATTCTCTGATTTCATGGTTCCTCTCCAAGCAACACAAACAAACAGCACAAACCAGCTTATCATCTGGACATGATCTTGTCCTATCAACAAAATTACCGAATTCTACCACTGGTAGACTTTTCTTGACAAACTCCACTGCAACAACATCCATCTTTTTAACCACCATGGATGAAGATGGAGATGGTTCATCCTCTGCTAAGATGGAATGTTCTTGATTAGGCGGATCGAGTACACCAATATGAAAGAACACCATCATAACCATTATCCTGACATGGGCTAGTAAGTTTAGCAAGTGTTTTATAAGTTTTGGCATCTCAATGCCAACACAAGGGAAACCCATGACTCACACAAGAAGTAGGGGGTTTGTCAAGAAGAAAGAGAAGAAAGTTGAGTGGGTAGGAGGGAGGCACTAAAGAGCACTAGAGGAGGATTTATAGAAATTTCGAAGAGGGTTTGAATGAAGAGGATTTGGTAGGAAAAATCTGAGATGCAAGCACACAGATTTTCATGATTAAAAAACACTTTAATTGCATGGCTTTAGGTACTAATTCAATATATTATATCTCTAAAAGAGGGTTAATAATTTGATTAATTTAATCAAAAGTTTAGTGCAACTTATGTCATTAACTTTTCCACAATATTTTATTTGCTTTCTTTACTCAAATTATATAAAACTAATGCTGCCCTTACTTTAACAACACCATTCATATATTATAATGTGTAAGCTGTGCTGCTGTCATCATATTGAAAAGCATTTCAGGAAGTCTGGCATGTACTATTTTCCTCTTGATAACAACTCATCCATATTCTGGAACTGTATTCCTGATTCTCATTCAAGCTGCATTGCTGAGTATTAATCATACTAATTGAACAAAGCTAGAGTTTGACTCAAGGAAAAAAGCTTGGGCACCTTTAGAAAGGATTAATGGAGATCAAGGGTGATTCTATAAATTTTGCTTGTTATAGTTGTCTAAAGATGCAAATCTTTAGGGGTGACCCCCTGGGAAGAAAAGGAATATGTTCAGTACCCCACAAATGAGGTAAGAGGAGCCTAGTCCAGTTAGCTAGCATTAGAAGCTGAATAATAGAGCAAATTGTTACATCTTTTATTTATTTATAGAATATGAGATAGTACAGATTTATAATAATATTGCAAATGGATGGTGAGGTAACTTCACATTAATTTGATTGCAAAATAAGTGGTTAGGCCACCTGAGATCATGCACTTGTTTATTCAGTAGTTTGGTCTTGATGCAGAGCCCCTTGTGATGAGACAAATGAACCACAGTTGATGAATCTTTTGTTGCCTGTTACGTGGCGACTGGTGAAGCAATATCATATTGTGGGACCAAAGAATATTGCTTAATAAAGGACAATAGCAAACCTACCCACTACTGATATTTGAGTAGTGAAGTCATCCCCCCCCCCCTTCCCTCTTCCCCAGGTTGGGGGTTGGGATCTGTTTGGTTGGTTTTGAAATTTTAGGTTATGCAGGGTGGTGAAGTAATGCAGAGAGGCTGCAATTTAAGGTTTTTGGCATCAAACTTTATTTTGTAAAGAAAAAGTTGGGAAAAAGCAATTAAAGTGTTACTTTGGTACTTGTTCAGGACATTTATCTGGGTCAGTCGCCCAATCCTAAGCAATGAACTTTATATTGGTTTAGTTTCTGCTCAAATATAAGAAATCGAGAGCTTCTAACAGTGATTATACCGTCAAGTCTTTGATACTTCTTCTTGTCCAGAAAGGAATTTAAGTAGTTATTGATATAACTTAATTGAAGTTTCATGCTAATAAGATTCATCTCATACAGTCATACTGTCATTTCAAATGGCATGATCTTCACAAAGAAATGATTCTAAATCAAGATTTTTCTAGCCCCAAAAGCAACCAAATTCAACCCTTCTCTAATTTCTAATTATTCTATTGCATCATCACAATAAATCATTTATATGTTTTAAATCAAAGTAACCCAGTTAGCAGTTGGTTGAGCCACTGCAGAGAAGTCTACTGTAAAGTGCATCTGCAATGATGAATGTCTAAGAAGACCCAAAAACCGCTTCTTTGGGAGGAGAATACTTAATTAAAACCTTTAACATCAAATTCCAATCCAGAAAGAAAGACAGTTGTTTTTTCATCTAAAATAATGCTTATATGATGTCATCGTCGTAACCAAACAAACCCCTTAGTTCTGTTGCTTCTGTATGCTGAGGAATCCTGCAAACCTGTAATGTATCTCAGATTTAAGTAGGCAGGTTGATAAAAAATCCAAAGGGGCTACTGGAGATTAAGTCAGATTATATCAAGATATGGCCCATAGATGTATCAAGCTGGATTTCATGTGGCCCCATTCAAGCATCAATCAAGATCTTACAATGTCCACATGTGTAGATCTTGTGTGTCTGCATGTGTTGCTGATCAAATGATCTCAACAATCTCTGTTATTTTCAAACCTTTGGGAAATATATGGATTTAAAAATTAGAAACCTGGGCTCGGGCATCAATTTGATGACATTGGACAAGCTTAAAGGTACTCAAAACTAACGAGTAATGATAAGAGGATAAAATGTTATTTACAGAAGGCATTAGAGATTCCTTAATCTTAGTTGGACATTAATTAATTAATCATGGCAACAATGATCTTTCTGTAAACTCAGTGACCAGAACATGACTGCTTCAGCTCAAACCATACCTGCCGAAACACCTTGATGATGAGATCATGGTATTCATCTGAATTCAGAGACAGATAACAAGCCAAGAGGTTCTCCAGCTCTTCCGGCCTTCGCATTTGATTCTCCACTATCATCTCCATCATTGATTCTCTGAAGTCCTTCTGAGGATCAAACGAGCATTTTGCAACAGCAAAATTCTCCAAACCTGTTCTTCCCTCCACTCCTCTTTCTTTCTTCTTTGTCTTCTCTCTCAACTTGGTCTTCTTCATTTCTTCAAGTGCTCTTATTTTGCAAGCCTCAACCTTTGAAGGGGTTCTTGGAGAACAGACTTTAGCTTTACAGCTCTGTTTTGTTCTTCTTCTCTGAAATTCTCTGCTTATGTAAATAGATTTCCTCTGTTTCTCGCTTTTCGACAATAACTCCTTAATTTTTAACTCCTTGGCTGTATTCCACTTCAATTCTAAGTCCTCTGCGAGGCTTTGATCTATTCTTTCTGAATTAACAGATGCAAATTCATAATTCTCTTCTTCTGTACTTGGGTCGTTGTTTATAACATTCGAGGAAGAGATGTAGTGAGACTTCCTCGACCCATTATCTGGAAACCTGCAATTCTCATCATGGGTTGTTCGAATTATGCTTACTGGTTCCGAATCTAGTGTACTCTGCCCCTTGTTCGAAGAACTCTGATTCTCTTCCACTGATTCACCGGGCAAAACCGGTGGCTGCGCTTGTTTCAAAATTCTTGAACCTGTTTTTCTCAATTCTCGATTCTTAGCTTTCCTGTCTTTTTTCTTCTGTGGTGCTTGAAACTCGGTCTCATATCGATCATCCTGCTCTTTACATATCCCATTTTCCGGCAAGATCTTCATATGAGCAGGGGAGCCACTCACCATTTTAATGTTGAAACCCATGTCTGCAAACTTCTCGATTTCTTCCTTTGCCACCATTTTAGAAGTAGTTGTAGTGGCAGTAGAAGTTGATTTACAGCTTGGGCGGCTGGAGACTGGGAATTCAAGCTCATCGTCAGAATCATACCAGACAGACTTCGAAAGATCACTGCTAGTCTTCTTACCTCCAGAGTTCTCTTTTCTGAAAGAGAGCCTCCAGAAAGCATCATCACTATCCAACTCGCTTACTACTCTAGTCCTCCTGCCTGTCCTTCCATCAGGGACCTCTGGTTGCGAGAAAGAGGAGACCCTTTTGGACAATTGAGTAGGCCTTGAACAAACAGACACTGATGAACCAGAAGACAATGAACTGGGTTTTGTTTTTCTCTTGGTTTTAGCAGGCTGAGGCTCTGCTTCGCCGCTCATTTGCTTGAATTTTGAAAGCCAAGACATGGGGAAAACTTGAGAGAGCGAAGAGAGGCGAGACGAAGAAGACGACGACGAAGCAGAGGAGACTGAAGGGTTGGATTTCTTTCTTCCCCATTTCATGTTTTTGCTGATCTTATTTGTTCAGCTGGGGTGAGACTTAGAGAGGGGGAGGTGCAAAGGAAGCAGAGAGTTTGGGCTTGGGTTGGCGTGGGGAGGGTTTGAAATTTTGAAGGAATGAAATGATGAGGGATAGCGGTTAAGGGACGGTTGGGCTGTTACTGGCTACGTGGGTTTCTCAATTCTCACCTTCTCTACTGGCTTCTTATTCAAAAGAGAAGCCCGCCTTAAGTCTTGAGACCAGAGTTGCTCACTTTTTACTACTTTGTGTACTTTGTAGAATCAAATGAGCTTCCTTTTGCTTTCACTTTATTCATTGGCTTGTGTTTTTTTGTCCCCAGAATGTGAATTTCTCCTTCCTTTTTCATCTCTCTCTTGTTTGTGAAAGTCAAAAGACTAGCTTGTAGCTTCACAATTGCGTTTCTGTTTCTGTAACAAGGGTAAATATCTTGTGTGTAAAACAGGTGGATTCAATGTCTGTGTACACCACACTGTTTGAACATCAGCTGTGTGTTGGCATGGATCTGGAGGGTCAGGTCAAATCATGTAGATGTAGTCCTGTTCATTATATCATATACTGTAGTCTATAGTGTAATAAGTCTTTCTGAAACAGTAGAATGTGAAAGTACAGCTATTCATCCATACACTCACATAGCTGTGTTTGGAGTTGGACAACCCGGGCTGAATGAATTCCACAGAAGTTACAGAAAGGTGGATTAGGCACTTGGCAGGCTCTGAATTGAATTCCATTGATCTAAATTCTAAACTCAGCTCAGTCGTGCCCAGAGAAATCGAAATGCCTGAAGCCTGAAAAACCCAAAACCAAACTGGTAGAATATAGAAGAAAAGAAAAGGTCAGGGAATTATTAAACTTAATTATAAAAGAAGAAAAGCAAAATGGCCAAAACCCATTACATCAAAATTACAAATGAGTTGGATTAATCCACTGATTAGCTCAAGCAGCTGATGAATCATGAATGGGTCCAAAAATGACTTCAGTGGTGTTGCTCGTCGCGTAGCAGCTGATGAATGGGTACAAGGCCTACACTGTGCTCAGGTCAATCTGCCATTGTTCTTCAACAACAAATCAATTCAAGTGCAATTGTGGACCAGAGGAGAAAAGGGGTGTTTGGGGTCCAAAGTTTAACAAACAAGGACACAATCTCTCAAGTAGAGCAATTACCTACCTTGGAAATTGGGTGTTGGTTCTTTCTCTCTTCTCATGGTGGTGGGGTAAAATAAAACCCAGCGTCCAATTAACCCTCCCCAAGGAAGGATAAAACACAAACAGACAGTAGGCAGTACCTCAATGGGTTTGGTAGATTTACATGCGTAAGGAGGAAGAAGAGACAGGTACTGTGGGAGAAAAGATGTAGGCTGAAGGAGGAGCTAGACCCGTAACTTTAGGCCAGAGCAGACAAATGATCAGCTCATCATATTCCGTCCAGGCCAAACTTCCCACTCTATGCCCAACTATCCCTAGCAGCAACATCAATCCGACAAATCAATTTTGTGGGCATCTTCTTTGCACCTTTTTATGATTTCTGTGATTTTTGTCTCTCTTGGATACACTTGAAAAGACATTTCTGGTTGTTAGAGATCAAACTTCCCCTTTGAGATGGAAATGGAACAGGACTCGGGTGATGGATAACACCAATCCAACCCTTACCTGAACCCTGTTGCTGATGGCCCAAAAGGAGTGAATGAAGAACCTGGGTTTATCATGGTTCACCATGGGACTCTCTCTCTCTCTCTCTACAAGATTTGAAATCTGGACTGGATCAAATGAATGAATTGTTGGACTAGATTCTATCCATAAAGGGCTAGGGCTAATTAATTTATTAATGTTGCAGCTTTGAATCAACTTGAAATTGGATGTTGGAAGATGAAGACAAAAGCTAGTAAGGTTGTACCATGCAGATGCAGTGAGTGTAATCCTTAGCTGACCCAGCACAGGTTGGGACAGGGTTAAAAAAAATGAGGCTATAGTTTATGGGTTTGGACTTGGTACCACTTCGATTGGGTTTGTTTATGGCCTAGTTGTAGGTTGTACGTCTGGGCTATAAGCCTACAACTGATATGGAGAATCTATCTGTCTAATAAATCAATAATCAAAGGGCTTCTTCAGATGGGAATTTTTCCCTGCTTATCCTTCTAAAAATTCAGACAGGTTTTTCTTCACACGTTTATCACATGAGTGCCCTCTCTCTCTCTCTCTCTCTCTCTCTCCTGTTTTCAGGATACATTCTTACATGTATCCCACTCTCTCCTAAAAGGTCTAAAATGAAATCAGCTTCATCAAAGCTTTCTGTCCATATGATTTAGGCATCATTTTGAGTGTTCTTTTTTAATTCTCCACAATCAAATTCTTTTAGTAAAACCAAATAGTTGCAATAATTTTCCACTACCCTTTTGTTCACCATAGTTTTGATCTCAATGATTTCAAATCAGTAAAATTTTGCAAACCAACATGTTGTATGAAATACATGAGGTGGATTATTATTCATCCAAAATTTTGAAATATTACTGAAGTAATATAAATATAAAGATATTGTAAAATACTAAAATTATAAATAAAAATAAAAATTTATTGGACAACTTTCGTCCAAAAATCTGAAATTTAGAAATATTTCACCATGGGCCAAGTGTCCAAAATGACCAAAATTTCCAAAATTTAAAACCCTTTTTCTTTTGGAAACTGGCACAGTTGACAGGTTATGGGACACCAAACCTTGTTGTCTAGGTCTTATGTATAGGGTCGTGTGCCTTTGAGTTTTACTCCCTCTAGGGTAATTCCATTCAGATGAGGTCAAGGAAAAGTGTAAAAAAAAAATAAACAATAGAAAAGAAGAAGAAGAAGAATAAAAGGAAAAAAAGAAAAAAGAAAAAATAGGCAAAATAATCACAACACAGATAGGGAAAATTAAGCCTATAAGACACAAACTCATGGGTCAGACACAATTTAGAGGAAGTGGATTGGTCCAACCTAAGAGAGGGCCTACACTATCAAATCAGTTTGATCTCATGATTTCAAACTATGTCATTATTCATTATTCTCAACTATATTTCTAGGTGTTCTGTAGACTTTTCTATACCATCCAAATGTTGATATCAAAGTATGTAACTGCAGTCATATCTTGAGCTGATTTTTGTCCACTGTGGTTGTCTACTGGATGGCAGGTCTTTATCCTCTGAATGTAGGACACTAGGCACTTGGCAAATCCAAGATTTATTTTCCTCTATTTTCATTTAAAATATAAGATTCTTTTGAACCAATAAAGTATAAACCATTTCTAAATTTTTCACAAAATTTTGATGTTGGATCCTAGAAAATCATTTGACATGTAAAATATTTGAAAGAGAACACAATTATTTACACAAAATGGTATTTTTATTATTTTATTATTTATTCGAAAACAACTTTTCTTGTATTTGCAGGGTAAGGCTGCATACATCTGTCCCTCCCCAGATCTTACATTGGCGGGAGCCTCGTGCACTGGGCTGCCCTTAATAAATTTTATTAACTTTTCTAATGGCTGATTGCAAGCTGAAAAACAAACTTGAAAAAATGGGGTCATGGGCTGAATTCCATGAAATGAAAATTTATTAGATGAGAGTAATTCAAAGAGATAATTATATGCTACAACTTTTACAAGTAAAGCCCATAATCTCATCCAAGACTCTAGGTAAAATGACTGACACCTTGAGAGGGGACAAGTCATTTTGTTACCCTATTTTCACTCTAGTCTTGGATAACATTTTACTTCCCTTGGCATTGATTACTTGCAACCAAACACTAAAAAGATTAATATTTTTTTAAATAACTGTGCTTCATTAAAATAAAAAAAAAAAGAAAATTCTACTGTTTATGGTAACAATTAATCAGTACTAGAATGGTACAAAACCTTAAAAAAACTTTACCCAATCAGGATCCCATGTGAATTTGGATGAATATCAACTGATTGTATATGATTTTTTTTAAAAAATAATAATAAATTATTTAAATTTGATTTCACATTTCATTGCTTTCTTTTCCATCTCTCTCTCTCCTATGGATAAGCCTGTTGCTAGTTCTGGTTCTACAGGAAGGAAGCAGCTTATATGTCACATCGTGGTTTTGGTTGTGATAGGCAGGGCCTGGTCCGTGGGCCTGGACATGCAAGAACAGAGTAGAGAGCAGCTCAAGCTTCCAGCCGCTCGAGCGGCCATTAGGAGGAACAGCTTATAGGGCCCACGACGGTCCTATCTCACCCACCCAATGGCTTCTAATTGAATCATACAAGCTTTGGAAAATTTGTCCATGAACAAGAAGGATCTTCCAAGAAGATATGTGAAGGGGGAGAGTAATCTGATGCGGATGGATGTGATTGATTATCCATTGATTGTGCCATTTCCCTACCCCACCACAAACATGGCCCATGGCCCACTAAGCCCAATACAAGCCATTCTTTTATCATCAGGATCTTACTAATTTACAATCTAGACTGAAGACTCTAGAGCTAGTATTTGCCTTTGTGTGGATTTACACATTGGGGCAAATTGATGTCTAATCATGCTGGGCACCAGTCATGTGATGACTGATGATGGCCGTCCAAGGCATTTCAAGTGGGTCCTATTGAAAAGTATAGATCCAATCAGTAGTGATAGAGAATTGGGTTCAGCAGGTGGCAGCTGTTTCAATAGTCCACACCCAACCAACTCAATTGGGCAGCTTAGATGCTGATTTGGGTCTCATTAACTGATTTTGTCTATTTCTTTGTTTCTTTCTGTGAAAAATGAAGAGAGAAAAACAATATGGATTGGAGGAGAGGAGGAGGAGCTCTCAGGATTGATACATCTATAGTTCTACAATCTTTATCATATGTGGATACTTGTGGCCTCACGTCAAAACGATGGCCAAACCCCGGGGGGAAGGGGTGTTTGGAAAGAAATGTGAGGAGGAGAGAGAGAATAAACAATATGAGATGGGTATGTCACTAGCTCATCTAGCCCCCTCAACTTAGGGAAAGTAATGATGAGACTGAAAAGGACTCAAAAGATGGATGTGATAAGAAATGATTTAAGCATCTATAATTTAATTTAATGATGAATATGACATTGAACAGAACAGAATGGCCTGGCAAAATGGGATAAAATTTAATTATGTGGCTGACCCATACAGTTGAGACAAGGCTTAGATTATGATGATGACTAGATGGGTATTCACGTGTGTAAGGAGACACCTGTCATAGACATAGACAGAGTGGAAGTGAAAGAAAACTCAGAGAGTAGAGTAAAGGAAACCTAGCCCCTTTAAATTTGTGCTTATATCTATCAAAGAGACAAGCATAACCTTAACTGTTTTCTTCAATTTATCTTCTAACGCTTGTTGAACCAAGATGCTAATTTATGAGCATTTTAATCTTAAATGGAGAACTCATATATTTTTATCGTCATTGAAGTCAAAAGAGAACTTATAGGACTGATTTTACTTGTCGAGGCAACAACTTGTTCTTGTAATGATCCATTTTCTTAACAATTGTTTACTTCTTAGAGTACAAATCAAACTTC